TTAGGCCACAATGCTACCATGTCATTTCATATTTTTATAGGTGCTCAACTAAAAAATCATTAATACTGCAGTGATTTCTTTGATCACTTGTATTCAGGAATTATCTTACATGGTTAATCAATGCAGTGATAATTTACTGTAGTTTAATGATAGAAATGTAGCCGTGTTAGTCTGGGGTAGTTGAAGCAAAATGCAGGACAATGTAGCACTTTAAAGACTAACAAGATGGTTTATTGGATGATGAGCTTTCGTGGGCCAGACCCACTTCCTCAGATCTGAGGAAGTGGGTCTGGCCCACGAAAGCTCATCATCCAATAAACCATCTTGTTAGTCTTTAAAGTGCTACATTGTCCTGCATTTTACTGTAGTTTAAGGCTGTGTTCCTATAGGTTACAAATATACAGAGAAAACCAAAACTTAAAAAGAATTGTGTACATTTTGACTGTCACCATACAGTTAGATTTTTTTTTTTACATATTCTCGTGACCGATATTGTATGTGCTGCTTTAGTAGCTCTTGAGCCCTCTCTGCACTGCGCACCTGCGCAGTACATTTACATTAGATTTCCTCATGTAATGTAGGCGGGGCTTCAAGGAAGGGGCGGGGCAGTAGATCTTCGCCTGTTCTGAGACTTAAAAAGTGATCTTGGGTGTAAAAAGGTTGGAGACCACTGCAAGTACCTTCTGTTTGGTTATTGCAGCTTGAGAGAATGGGAATGGAATGTTGCTGCTGTATTTTAGAGTTTGGTTTCAAAAGCTTAATCCTTATGAAATTTGTCTAATTTCGAACTTGAACCTTGAAGTAAATTATCTAGAATTTCTCACAATCTGTTCTTTACTTCCTCAACTTTTTGTTGAATATTAAAACCAAATGTTTTTGGATAGGAATGACTTTTAATGGGATTTTGTGCTGATACTTCTATATTTAATGGTCATATCACTATTTCTAACTTTTAGTTTGGACAAAATAAGGTTATGCTATGAATCCATTGACACACTTTTTTTTTCCATTTTGTGAAACTTCAGTGATGAAATACCCAAAATTAATAAAGATGAGGGGCACTATATAGACCAGAACAAAGTTCTCTTATTTGTGCTGTACAGATGAGTTCAGGCAAATTGGAATCTCTACACTCAATCATTATAAAATTATATGAACTGAAACTACTAAAAAACTTTCAAAAATACCAACGTGAATCTCAGGTTGACTGCCATATGTAGACATCAACTGAAAGGTTTTGTCATAAATTGTGTGAAGCATACAGTGAAGTGATGCAAAAGGCACCAAAATACTACTCTATTTCAAAGTATCCTGCAAAATACAGTTATTTTAAATGTTCCTGTCCAGATACCAATGATACAGCATTTATTAGTAGCATTTTGTGCAGTGTTTTGTTTAGGGTTTTTGTTTTGTTTTTTTACTGTGAATTGATATTTACATCTACTGCCTCAGGAAGATAGTAATGTCCAACACCAGCAGCCAGCTCATGGATCTCAGTATCACATGACGCTGGCTCTGCGATGGGTAGCACTAGTGTTGCAAGGAGATCAAGAACATAACAATCAGACTCCTCCCTTTTTATGCAAATATACATTCATATTAGAAAACACTTTTTGCACTTTCAGCCTCATCAATATTTTTTACTTTTAAAGATAATGGGGATCAAAGGCCTTGTTTGTGCAGGATGCTGCAATGTTCTAGGATTGTGACTTCAGGTATAGTCCTCAGTTTGGGGTGATGCCTAAATGACATTAAACCAGGAGCTCTAAATCATAGCTGCATCTCCAAGCCACGGTTCTTTTTCTACATCCTTTTTGCTTCCTGGGACAGTAATTTACTGACAGCCTACCATGATAGGTTACTGGCTCAATTACTTTAGCCAAAGCTATGCTTGTTCTTCACCCCACCCTACCAATCTGTTTTGGGGAGGGAGAAAATGGACAAGTAACCATACTTGCTTCTGTATTGATGTGTAGGGATTGGAAGGAGTTCTTACTCTTCCTTATTCCTGTATTAGTGTGTTTAATCCAAGGGCAGGTCTACACACTGGGGAAATGTCAACCTAATTTAGGCAACTCCAGCTATGTGAATATTTTAACAGGAGTCAACCTACCTTAGGTTGAGTTACTGTGGGATCTCCACTGCAAGGGGTTGATGGGAGAAACTCTCCCGTCAACTTCCTGTATGCTTCCAATTCCGGAGGAGTCTGGAGTCAACAGGAGAGATCAGTGACTGATGTTGCAGTTCTTCACTAGATTCACTCAATTGACCCCCTTACCCCGGGAGCGATCAATTGCCACAGCAAGTGTAGAAAGCCCCATATTACAGCAGGCCTATAAAATGAAATATTTCCCAGTTAGTCCTTCTGAAATTGTGCAATAATTTGAATGGATTCATTGCATGTACCTGGTAATTGTTTTTATGATATGTTTCATTTATTGTACTTTTATCCGAGGAATAAAACGGAGGCCCTGCATTCCTGAATCACAGGAGTAGTACCACCAAAGTTGTCAGAGCTTCTCATGTGGATAAAGGTTGCAGAATTGGTCTCTTGTTTAATTCTGCTGAAATTAAGCCCTTAATGTAGCCTAGGTTTTTTAGATATATTATCATGATTGTTATTATTTCTAATGTTGACAAGTTATGAAAGCACACTGGAGACTTATAAATTAAAATATTTATTGGGGCTCTGTAAAGGACAATAAATTGATTTATTCACATTAGGCAGGATGGCTTTAGTGGGGGTTTTTCCAAGTGTGTAGAAATCTCAACTGAGCAGTGCGCTTAGAAAACAGAATGAGCCACTTTCACTTTGAAAAAAATCTTATAAGAATCATTTCAAATTTTTGATGGTGACTTCATTATTCAAGAAAGGTGTCAGTTTGACATTAATGGAGATGGAAGTAATCTCCTATAAGAACAGGCAGTGCACATCTGCCAGTGCACATCTCTTGTCCTGTAGGGACCATCTCTGCAGATGAGATGTTTCCATGCTCATTCCACCATTGGCTCCTCTCTTGAAGCTGCCGGTCAAGGCACAATTGCTGCAAGTTGTTCTTGTGAAGTGGATACCATTCTGTTAGGGTCTAACCTGAGACCATAAACTTGTTTTAGATAGGCTACCGAGTACTTTTAATATAATAATGGTTTTTGGTCTGCTAATCTGGGCTGTGTTTAAAATGGTAACCTAGAGGTGAAAGGGTATGCGTCACATACCAAACTCACAAGCCATTGAATGCCTAAATGTATCATTTTAAAACTGTATTTACTCATAATTGCTCACTATAAATGCTGATATGGGGGGGGGTTAGCAAATACCTATGGTCCTTTGGTCACATACTTTATTTCAGAAGTATAGTACAGTGCAAAGGATTAATGGTCCATTTCAACAGAATTATGGTCAGTTCGCACCCTTTTTACAGTGCTGTTCCATCAGTACAGCAGGACTTTGAAAGGAGAGAAACATAAGGAGTATCTAAGCATCTTTTATATATTAACTTTTTAGAATGACACTAGTTTAGTTTAAAAATAGAAATGGTCTGCCACCTCTTTTTCCTTCACTGTGAGACTGAAGATTAATCTGAGTTACCATGTAACTTACTTCACAATAAATCTGCAGTCTTGATCCCACACTCAATAATGCTTCTCACTGCTACTTGATCAAAAACAGCTTGAGATTCTTGCAATTGGAGCTTTCTATTCATAGCTGATACCCCACACTGAAAGAGTACATGCCAGGAAAACAAGCAACTCAGGAAAGCAGTTTGAAAATATAATTTGTGGAGGTTTTATAACAAATCCTTGAGACGCTTGGGTGGGCTTTATGGTTGAATCAAAAGTCTCAAGTTGTGTGCTGGATCCCTTGCTAAGCCCAGCCATCAGGTGTGGAGAATGCTGAAGGGGCAGTACGTTCAAACCAAAGGTGCAAGGGAAGGAGAATATTCCATTGCTCTAAAAACTCTCAACTCTTCCCTCTGGCCAATGCATCATACACTAATAAATACCCTGGAACACCGTACAATTAAATAATTATATACTTAAGCCTGTTTCCGCATGGAAGGCTGTCTGAGATGATATCCTGAGGCCCCTTCCAGTCTGATATTTCTGTTGTTATATCCAAGAACTAGGTTAATAATGTTAAGCACTGAAACATCAGGAATGGCAGAATTAAGGTTTCTTTGTGCACTCTCCAGACATTAGGAAAAGAAAGGTGTTAGTAACTGGCAATTTTGATCATTAGAAACATGGGCAGCTGGCTTTGCAATGACTGGGATAACTGTATGGTGACTTGCCTGCCTGTTGTGAAGGTTAGGGATCACATCTAGATAGACTTATGTGTAGTGTTGGGGAGGAGCCGGTGGTTGTGGTACATGAAATTACCAGTGACATAGGGAAGGGTAGGAGAGAGGTCCTGGGGGCCAAATTTAGGCTGTGAGGAAACAGATGGAAATTCGGGATCTCAACGGTAGCATTCTCTGAAATGTTTGCAGTTCCATGCGCAAGGCCAGAATGGGTTTCAACTAAACCAAAATGGAACCAGATTGCTAGCATTTAAAATTAAAAAGTTCATAGAACAGTTTTTAAACTAAGGTCTGGGGAAAGACTAATGGGTGGGGAGGAAAATATGGATTGGACAGAGACATCCTTTAGGGGAGGATCTTTTAACAGAGATTCTCTATGTCCTAGTAAACAGG